TAGTTCGTAGCCGAGTATGTTGGTGCATTGTATTTGGCTTTTCTTTGGGTTAACCTTGAAGCCGTACGTCGTCAGATATTGTTTGGTGCGATTGTATCTGTAGTTTAGCTCTTGTCGTTTGTCGGCTGCTATGAAAATGTCGTCTTGATAGAATCTCAAGTGTTCGGCAAACGGTAGATCCTTGAGTATGGTTCCCATGGTTGCGTGAAAATGCTTAGGTGCGTTAGTTGCACCCATGGGCATGCAGTTGTATGCGTAATACTTGCCGCGGTGTTCGAAAGCATAGGTACCGATTTGGTCAGCTGATAGTGGTATAGTATGAAATGCCTTTGATAAATCAATCTTCGCTAGTAGCGGTTGTTGTGCTCCCCACGTGATAATTGGCCAACAGCTCTGTAGGTTTGGGAAGCGTCCGGCATCATTAACATACGGAAGTAGTGGTCGGCAGTCGTGGGTAACTCTGTCCTTCACGACGCGTGTCGGTAGTGTGAAATTCGGTCGGTCTGATAGCGGTGTAATCTTATGTTGGTGTAGTAGCGGCTTTAGCCATGCATCAATGGTTCGTAACTCTTCTGGTTTAGTCGGTAGTCGTCCATGGTATTGTGGAAGATAGTTGCGCTCCACCTTCTCGGTGAAGTGAGGTAGTGTCGTATTCTTAGGCCTCCTTGCGAGACCAAGCCCCCTTTCGATATCTTCTTGGCTCCGGCGCACGAGTTGGGTACTGGTGGCTTTGCCGAATTCCTAGTTTCCGCCACGACCTCTGAAAGAACCACGGCCTCGGCCTCTGCCTCGGCCTCGGCCGCGACCAGGTCCGATAGAAGGCATAGCTCCGTTCTGCCATAGTTGCAGTCCTCTGACGATGCCAGCTTTTGATACCAGCGCGATGATGTTGGCTGTGTCTAGTGCGGACAGATGTAGATAGTTCTGTGCGTTGCAGTAGTTAAGGCGGTCCACGAACTCCTCAAAGCGTCCTGATTGCTTCAAGGCTTCGTAACATTGCGCGCGTAGCTGGGTTGCAAGTTGAATTTTCTCGATAGCGGTGGTTGTTGTGGCGGTCATGGCAGTGTAGGTAGCATTAAGAATTGAACGGTAATCGGCGCCCACCAGAGTCATAATGTAGAAATAAATAAATCAATAAATCAAAGTTCACCAATAATACTGTTCAGTGCAAGAGATTAGTCAGTCAAATATTTCTGAGTTAGCTTTTCGAAAAAGGATAAAATTTTTAGATGTTAACTATTTCGTGTTGGAGACGGCGTCTCCCGGTGATTATTAAATCGTGGTCCGGAGGTCTCTTGCGGGTATTAATTAAATCTTCAGTCAGCAATTGTGGGCGAGATATATAATTAGCCGTAGGTGGGCGGTTTGGTTCTTGTGTGCGATAGAATCGGTCGTTGGCCCACAATCGATTTTCTGCGGTGTGTGTCTTCTGCTCTATTTTTGATTTGGTTCTAAGTTGTCTGCTCGGTGCATCGGCAGGGTTGAACTTTCCGTGAATGTGGTAGTAAGTGACTTTGTTGTCAATCGTTTTCAGTAGCCTTAATACC